ATGTTTTTAAATTTCTGTAGTTAAACTGTGCATCTGTTATCTTTATAATTTATGTTATATTACATGTGTCCTTTTGCAATTTTTTTTTGTTCAACATTGTAGTTTTGAGATTTATCCTTAATACATGTAGTTGTATTTCTCATTATAATTTCTGTGTAGTATTTTTGGGTATGAATAATGGATATTAGGTTTTTTCCACCTTTTCATTGTTACAAATTATGCTGCACTATATATTCTTCTAGTTGTAATTTTGTAAATATATACAAGAGTTTCTGTAGGGTAAAAACTTAGCAATGGCAATAAATGATTGTATGGTATGTACATCTTTATTCTTAAAAGATTATGTTGCCAAACTACCATCCCAAGTGAAGGTTCTAGTTTATTCCCCCTTTGGCAGTATACAAGTTCCTATTACTATACATCTTTTCTACAACTTGATATTGTTGACACATGTGCACATGCTTATGTTCACCAGCTTCATGAGACGATATGGTATGGTGTTTGTATTTTTCCCATTGCTAATGGGATTAAGCATCTTCTCATATGTATAGAGGCCATTCTGATTTTTTCTTCTGTGAATTGCTTTTTTTTCTATTAAAAATTTTTTTTTAATTTATTAACTTAAAGGAGTTCTTCATGTATTCTAATCCTTTGTCAGTTACCTGGAGTATATGTATTTAGTCTGTATCTTCTCTCTTGGTGATGTCTTTGTTGAATGGTAGCCTTTCGTTTTAACCTTGGCAAGTTCATCCGTCTTTATCTTTAAGGTTATTGCTTTTTGTCTTAACTCTTGTATATTCTAAGGTAATGAGGATTTTCTCATATCTTTTTTAAAAAATTGTACTTGTACTTTCACATTTACATTTTTAATCCAACTATAACTTATTTTTGTACAGTTCTGCTGTAACATAGCATGTGTTCCTAAAAACCACCATGTTATATGCAAAATCATGCAATAAAAAACACAGGGCATATGGGAAAAATGGGGTTGGGACACAGCACTCAAAAAAATTTTGTCAGAGAAACATTAAAAACATAATAAAAATGGTAGCACAGTTTTACATATGTTAAATGGTTAAGAAATACATAACTACCACAATAAATATGACATTTTATTTTGAAAAGGATAAAGTTAACTTGTAGAAAGAAGTACGATTTAAAGGGTTGCAGCTTGAATTATTGCAAAGTGGTGGAAGGAAAGTTTTCTTAAATCTGCCAAGAAGTTGTAACAGCAGATGTGGGAGTGTGGCTCATAACACGCTTGAAGATGTTTGAAGTGTCAGGGGTGCCTGAGTGGCTCAGTCAGTTAAGTTTCTGACTCTTGATTTTGGCTCCGGTCATGATCTCAGGGTCGTGAAATTGAGCCCCACATTGGGCTCTGCTGGTGTAGAGCCTGCATAAGATTCTCTCTCTCCCTCTTCCTCTGCATTCCCCCTCTTAAAAAAAAATAAAATGATGTTTGAAGTGTGTGTGTTTTGTGCATTCCTGTGTGGTTCAGTACAGCTGAGTAGTTTTCTACATTCACCTTGTGTTTGTTTCAGTTAGGGCTACAGTAAAGCAAGCTAGGCACTTAGGGGGCAGAATTTAAGGAGGTGCTTCCTGTTAGGGTTCCTAGGCATTCGCTTGCCTCACCTTAGTCCTGGCCCTGCTTGTGAATTAAAGTAGTGCTTGAGCATTTACTGAAATTTGTGTTATTGTTCCCTAATATACCAATCATGTTTAATATATTCAAATTTTCAAAACAAGCATTAGAGTAGAACTGACTGCATATGTGAGGTAAAGCTCTATTTTTTTCCCATATACTTAGCTAGATCATTTCCCACTAATTCATAATGATGCTTTTGGTGTATATCATAGTTCCCCATATACATGAATCCGATTCTTGTTTCTTTGTGCTGTTTTCATTGGTCTTTTTTGCTTCTCTCTATGCCAGTATCACATTTTTTAATTACAGGTCTCGCACTAACTTTGTAACCTTGGTCAAGTTATTCCTGTGTGCCTATGATTATAATAGTACCTATATTATTGGGTAGTTAAAGGAATAAATGAGCCAATATATTAAAGTGCTTAGAAATATGCCCCTAGCCCAAGAGTAAAGCTCACATGTTAGTTATTTTGTTATTAAAAGTAATTTCTTTAACTTAATAAGCAGTCTTGATATCTTGAAGCCTGATTTTGCCATCTTATTTCTCCTTTTCCATACTGTTTGAAAGGAAGTGGGAAAGGCTTATGGGAGGATTCCCTGAGAAAGTGAAATGTAGGCTATCTGAAAGATTATAGGAATTAAATAGATGTTGGGATTAATAGGAGTATAGTCTAGGCAGATGGAGCCATAAGGCAAAAAATGGAGTGTCTGGTAACTGAAAGAAGGTTATTGTAGTTCCATCTCAGCAAAGAAAATGGTACCAGTTGAAACTAGATAGGCAGGAGTAGATAGATCATGCAAAACCAGGTAGGCGATGTTAAGGATTTTAGACTTCATCTTATGATCATAGTTATAACTGTATATAAGGATTGTTATTTTGTGCCTTTTATTCTTTCTTAGGTCTAAGAATAAAAGTCATGAAATATCAGTCTTTACAAATAGTTATAGCTATTTAAAAAACAAACAAACAAAAAAATCTTGAGAGCTATAAAATTGGCCCTATCTGGATCCTAATAGCATACCAAGGATTAGGAGTGCTGTTGAGAATGTGTAAGTCGAGTCTTTGTTCACTTACTCGTAATCTTTGAGAACTATTGATTCTGTTGTAGGCTTTTACCAGTTCAAATTGAAGATTCTTACGTTTTGGCAGATTCACAGATTAGGGGTAGAGTTTTTACAACAAATCTATGTAAAAGTCTTAAAATCATAATTTTTTTATTTAGTTCACTTCATTTAATATTGTTGTCTTTATTGAGTAAGAAGTCTACATATTATTTCTGTAATAGATGTTTCTGTTTTTTTCCTATATTTCCCCTCATGTTTCATTACCACAAAATTCTACAAATAAGATATAGGTGGCCTGTAATAGAGATACGACGGTCTTTTCAGTTGAAAGCAGATAAATACCCATCAAGTACAAGAGTCTCCTCTCATAATAGTATCATTATACAGAAAGTAGTCACTTCAAGACCTAGGAGAGTTAAACTAGAAATATAACAACAGATGAATACTACCCAGTGCAAACCTCTACCATACAGTAAAGGATTTATTAAACACTTTGGGAGATAAAACCCCATCTTTTAGAAATATATTTTAAATAAATAGAATTTTGATAGTATTTCCAAAATAGTTTTAATGTCAGTTTTATAAATCACATTGTTATTTATAATGTTACTGTTAATAAATTCAACAAATTCCAATCAAAATCTTAATTGTATTTTTTGTGGAACTTGATAAACTGACTCTAAAATTCACATGGAAGAACAAATGGCCAAGAACAGTTAAGGCAATTTGCAACAACACCAAGCTGGGGGAACTTGCCCTAAAAAGAAATCAAGATTAAAGTAATAAAGATAATATCAAATTGGTACCAGCTCTGAAAGCCCTGACTCCGGACAAAAATAGATGGAACAGAGGAAAGGCCACATAGTATGACATTAGTTTGCAAAGGAAATGAAATGTCTGAATATTTTGTTTAAATCGCAGGAGGGAGTCTAAAAAATTTTTAGTGGATGATAAATACTTAAGTATAATTTTCTTTAATATGTAAAGTTATTGCTGATTTAATCTCTTTATTTTAAAAATAGGGTTTTCTTAAGACTTAGTCTCTGAACTTTTTTTCTTCATAAGTCTCAAATTCTACAATTTGGGGGCTGAATTTCAGTTACATAATCCTGACAGTAGGTTTGGAGTACTAGTGTATAGATAATTCTGCAGTACCCACTTTAAGGGAATTAAACTGCTGAAGATTATTCTCTAGGAATTGTAGGATTTTGTTAGATTGGTGCCTTTGCTTCAAACAAATAACTGTATAACTGTAGGATTTCGTTCCTATACATAGTGTTGTGTGTAGTAAGCACAGATATATTAGAATGATCTCCAAAAACACTTGATTACCTATGTTAGTACACATGTGGGCTTTAAACAGCTTGTTAACCTTTACTTTTGATTATGTTTGTGATTGAACCTGGTTAAGTATGGGAAAATGTTTCTGGAAAAGAATTTAAAATAATTATGAGTCCATGGCAAAGCAGTATTTCATAGTGGGTATAATATAGTCAGAATAAATTTGTAACGTTTTTTAGGTTTATGAGCTTTCTTTACTAGAGCACCATTATTTTACTTTTTCTGTCGCTGGTCATCTGATGAGAAGCCAGTTTGTAGGTACTTGAAAATAAGATGAATATAGTTTCAGTAATGCTTACAGTGCTTGGTGTACCACACTTTTGAAACCAATCAAAAAAAATCTATCCTGCCTGCCCCAGCAGATTTTATGAGAAATAGATGGAGGCATATTGTTGTTACTAATTTTTGTTGGTAAAGAAGCTAACGAAAGTTTTTAAAAATTTATTATTACAATTATTATAATCAGTCTTGCAAACCTTTAATAATCCACTTTCCTTATCCCCAGAAAGATAGAGTAAAATATATAAAATAAACATACTGTCTTTGTAAGTTTTTTGCAGAAGAACCATTTTGGTATTTCTTTATATTTTACCATGTTGTACTTTAAAATTTTGTTTTGATTCATTCTTATAATTCCCATTTGAATTTTTGTTCAGTTGTCAAACATTTTATGGAATAGCTATTGCATTTTCTAAGAGGTGCTGTTAAGGATTTTTTTTAAATGTGTATGTCAATACTTTTCCTCATTAGTAGGTATTTATAGAACAATAGAAATAACACTGTATAAGTGAAAATTTTTTTCCAGATTGTAAGTCACATTACAGTTATTCTCAATCCTTTGAAGTAGGCATGTACTGTAATATAAAATGAAATATCAAAAATAGATAGCTTCTCTGCTATTCCTATGGTTACAGGTATTTTCCTTTACTGATTTCTTTTCTTTTTTTAGGTACCTAGTTGATAGTCGCTGGTTCAAACAGTGGAAAAAATATGTTGGCTTTGACAGTTGGGACAAATACCAGATGGGAGATCAAAATGTATATCCTGGACCCATTGATAACTCTGGACTTCTCAAAGGTCATTATTTCCTTTCTTCAGTCAGGTTGTAAATGTGTTCATTTGAATATGTTATAGTCAATATATGTAATAGGGAAAATGTTAATTTAAATAAATTAGAAAAATTTCTTTGTATTATAGATTTAACCTAATGAACTCAGATTATTCTATCTTAATTAGTTATTACTCTGTATCATGACAAATTTTTTCATTTATTATGTAAGAAAGGTTTATTATTGTTTAACCCTTTAAGTGAAGAATGTAAGTTAGAAAGCACTATCTTACTATTTGGGGGAAATGCTGTATTGTTACTGTTTTTCCTAATGGACACATGACTTTCTTTTTAAGTTGGGGAGCATTGATATATGTTTACATTCTTGGAATTTTGCAGCCGTCTTCTACAACCCTCACTACTTACCAGTCTTCTATCCTCTCATTACACTTGAAGAGAATAAAACATAAGTACCAGAACTTCCATTTCTGGCCAAGATGGAGTAAGAGGGACTAGATTTACTCTTCCACCTGAGCAAACTAAAACCTTGACAGAATATATAAAATAACGGTTCTCAAAACATTGGATACCAGGCAACAAAGAATAGTGATCCTTGAGAGATAGGAAACAAATGAGGTAAGCTGTATGATTACCTCAGCTTACTGCATTAATAGAATGTTCAAGACAAGGCACAGAAGAGGAAACCCACGTAGAGCCTGGCAATCTCCCTCAGTGAGGAAAGAGTTTGGAATCCAGGGAGACCCATGCCACCAGAGTTTTCAGGGCAGAGTACCAGATAGGAATGACCAGCAAAAAGAGACAGAGGAGACAGAGAGACACCTAGAGATACACAGAGGGTCTCTCTCAAATCTTCAGGTGAGTGTTGATCAAGCTCATGTATGTGAAGGGGCTGCCCAAGGCTAGGGGAAGAACCACCCAAAAGAATTAGAGGGAACAGTCATTGGGGCTAATTTAGGACCAAGAATAATGTGTTCATAGCAGTTAGAGTGGAAAACCTTATAATTCATGGAGTATACTACTGAGAACAGTTCTGCCACTGTAATTGAGCAAAATTAATCCTCCTGTCCTTCTAATCTGAAAGCGTCAAACTTTAATGCAGAAATACTTAGAGGGATACAAAAATATCCAGCATCCAATCAACAAGATAAAATTTGTAATGTCTCAGATCCAACCAAATATTACTTGGCATGCAGAGAAGCAGAAATATATGATGCATAATGAGGAGAAATGTCAGTGTTTAAAAAAAAATGTTTAGAAAAAATGAACAAATGAAACAAATACAAAAGAGCAAGATGGTAGATTTAGATTATTCTTTATGAATAATCACATTAAATGTAATACCCCCAATTAGAGATAGAGATTGGATAAAAAATAAAACATAACTATGGGGATGCCTGGGTGGCTCAGTTGGTTAAGCGTCTGCCTTCAGCTCAGGTCATGATCCCAGGGTGCTGGGATCGAGTTCTGCAGGGGGTTCCTTGCTCAGCAGGGAGCCTGCTTCTCCCTCTGCCTGTTACTCCTTCTGCTTGTGCATGCTCCCTCTCTCTCTCTTGCTGGCAAATAAATAGAATCTTAAAAAGAAAGACGTAACTATGCACTGTCTACAAGAAAGCCCCCCTTTTAGTATAAAGATACAAATGGATTAAAAGAAATTGAAAAAGGTATGCCATGTTATAGTAAGCAGAATTCTAAGACTGACTCCCAGTGACTCTCTTTCTTTATAATCTTCTCCCCCTTTGAATATGGGTAGAGCCTGTGAATAGGATGAGATATCATTCCCATGATTATTTATGTTGTATGGCAAAGGGAGATTATTCCAGTGGTTTTAATCTAATCACAAATGCCCTTTAAAAGGAGACTGTTTTCTAGCTGGTGGCAGAAGTCAGAGATTTAAAGCCTGAGAAGTAGTTAGTGCATCACTGCTGGTCTGAAAATGGAAGATGTCTTGTGACAAGGAAGGCAGGCATCCTTTAGGAACAGAGAGAGACATGGCCCACAGCCAGCAAGGAAACAGACCATCTCAGACCTGGCACCATGAAAAGCTGAATTCTGCCAACAATCTGAATGGACTAGGAAGCAGATTCTTCCCCAGAGTCTTTAGATAGGAGATCATCCCACCTGACATCTTGATTTCTGCCTTATGAGCCCTAAGTAGAGGATCCAGTTGAGCCCACCTGAACTTGTAACCCACAAAATTGTGAGATTGTAAATAAGTATTGTTTTCAGGGTGCCTGGGTGGTGCAGTTGGTTAAGCGTTTGACTCTAGGTTTCGGCTCAGGTGGTGATCTCAGGGTTGTGAGATCAAGCCCCGTGTTGGGTTCCTGCGCTCAGCGCAGAGTCTGTTTAAGACACTCTCTCCCTCTCATCTGCCCCCCACAACTCTCTCTCTCTCAAAATAAATAAATAAATCTCTTTTTAAGGTATTGTTAGCCCCTGCATTAATTTGTTATGCAGCAAATAGAAAAGTAATACATGTGCTAATACTAATCAAAAAAAAGCTTCAGTGGCTCTATTAATATATAATTATATAATATATGAGTATATAAATAAAATGAGAGTCTCAAATCAGTGCTGTTGGTTTTTAAGAAACAAAGAAAGAACAAATTAAACCTAAAGTAAACAGAAGAAAGAAGAAAAATAAGTTCAGGACAGAAATTAGAGAAGATAAAAATAGAGAAAATCAATGAACCCATGAGCTGGTTCTACTCAAAGCGAATATAATATGATGTGTTAATTATAAAAAAAAATATAAACTGGTTCTTTGTGAAAATAATAAAATTGGTCCATGTCTAGTTTGATCACAAGAAAAAGAGGAAAGACACAATTACCAGTATCAGGAACACGAGAGACATAGTATCAGTATGGAATCCACAAATATTAAGACAGTAAAGGAATATTATGAACTTTATGCCATTAAATTCAGTAAATTAGATGAAAACTACCAAAGCTCATTCCAAAAGAATAGATTGCCTGAGTAGCCCTGTATCAAGTACAAAAATTGTTTAACATTTTTCACAAAAAAAAAATCATCAGATTCAAATAGTGCCACTGGTGAATTCCACCACATATTTAAGGGAGAAATAATACCTATTTTACAAAACTCTTCCAGAAAATTGGGAGAGAGTATTTCCCAACTCATGCTGTGAAACCATCATTACCTTGATACCAAAATCTTAGAGACATTTTAAGAAAACACTAGACCAATATCTTGTCTGAAAAGAAGTTTAGTAAATCAAGTCCAACAATGAAAAGGATATATATGTCGTATAGAAATATATATTTAAAAGGTAACATATCATGTAAGATAAAAGAGTAAAATAGAAGAGTCCTCATCCTCATAATGGGCATCTATGAAAAACCTTCAGGTGACATGAAAAAGGCAAGGGTGTCCACTCAGCTCTTCAGCTGGCATTACTGGAGGTGTTCTACCCAATGCAGTAAGGCAAGAAGAAGAGATAAAAACATACAGATTATATAGGAAGAAGTAATAAATCTGCTTTATTCATAGACAGCTATGTCCATGTAGAAAATTAGATTGAATCTACAAAAAAAAAAAAAAAACTTCTAGGGGCGCCTGGGTGGCTTAGTCAGTTAGGCGTCTGCCTTCGGCTCAGGTCATGATCCTAGGGTTCTGGGATCAGGCCCTGCGTCCAGCTCCCTAATGAACTGGAGGAGTCTGATTCTCCCTCTCCTTCTGCCCCTACCCCCTGCTTGTGTACTCTCTTGCTCTCTCTCACACTCTCTCTCTCAAATAAATAAATAAAATATTTAAAAAAAAAAGTTTCCAAGGACTAGTAAATGAGATTGGTTTATGGGATATAAGATCATTATTTAAAAACCCAATTGTATTTTTATATGCTAACAATGAACTAGCATGAATAGAAATTTTAAAAATACATTTTATAGTAACATCAAAAAATACAAAATGTGGATAAATCTGACAAAATATGTGCAAGACCTATACACTGAAAACTGGAAGACATTGCTGATAGAAATCAAAACCTAAATAGAGAGATTCTGTTGGTGGATCTGAAGACTCAATATTGTTAAATTTCCCCCCTCAAACTATAGATTCAACACAGTTCCAAATTACATTTCTAGTAGGTGTCTAAAAAATTGACATAGGTAGGTAAATTCAATCTCAGTTTTTTTCTATCATAAAATTTATCCTTTTAAATTGTATAATTCAGTGGTTTTTAGTATATTCACAAGTTGTACAGCCATCACCACAGTATTTTCATCACACCACAAAGAAACTTTGTACCATTAAGCAGTCACTCCTTATCCCCTCTTAAAACCCCCAACCCTCAGCAACCACTAATCTACCTCCTGTCTCTGGATTTACCTATTTTGGACATTTCATCTAAATGGAATCATATAGTATGTAGCCTTTAATGTTTACATTCTTTCACCTAACACAAAGTTTTTCAAGTGTCATCCATGTAGCATGAATCAGTACTTCATTCCTTTTTATGGATGAATAATTTTCCGTTGTATGGATATACTACATTTAATTTATCCATTCATCAACTGATGGACATTTGAGTTGTCTTCACTTTCTGGCTAATGATGCTGTGAACATTTTCACATACAAATTTTTGTGTAGTTATATATTTTCATTTCTCATGAGTGCACACTTAGATGTGCAATTACTAGGTTAGATAGTAACTCTATATTTAACTATTTAAGGAATTGTCAGAATGTTTTCCGAAATAGTTGTACTATTTTAAATTTTCACCAGCAATATATGAAGGTTCCAATTTCTCCATATTCTTGCCAACACGTTGTCTGTCCTTTTATTATAGCCATCCTACTGCATATGAAATGGTACCTCATTGTTACTTTGATTTGTATCTCCCTAGTGATTAATGATGTTAAGTATCTTATCTGTGCTGCTTATATATCTTTTTTTTTGGAGAAATGTGTATTCTGATCCTGTTCTTTTTATTTTTATTTATTTATTTTTTAAAGATTTTATTCATTTGATAGATAGCAAGAGCAGGAACACAAGCAGGGGGAGTGGGAGAGGGAGAAGCAGGCTTCCCGCTGAGCAGGGAGCCCGATGTGGGGCTCGATCCCAGGACCCTGGGTTCATGACCTGAGCCGGAGGCAGACGCCTAACCACTGAGCAGCCCAGGCACCCTGATCCTGTTCTTTTTAATTGGACTACTTGTCTTTGTATTCTTATGTTTCAAGTGTTATTTATATATTCTGGATACTAGCCCCTTATCTGACATATAAGATTTCCAAAAATTATCTCCCATTCTGTAGATTGTCTTTTACTTTCTTGATGGTATCTTTGAAGCACAGAAGTTCTTAGTTCTAAGTCCACTTTATATTTTTTCTTTGGTTACTTGTGATTGTGGTGTCAGAATGTATCACCTAATCCAGGGTCATACAAGATTTATACCTATGCTTTCTTCTAAGATTTATACTTTTAGCTGTTATATTTATGACTTTGATCAATTTTAATTTAATATTTGGATGTATTGTGAGGTAAGGATCAGTTGAACAGATTAGAGAATCCAAAAGTCGATCCACATATATGTGGTCAATTGATTTTAGACAAAGATGTAAGAGGATTTCAGTAGAGAGAGGATAGTCTTTTAAACAAATGCTCATTTGTTTAATCACAGTACAGGCCTGTGATTCATCAGTATTACATCATATGCCCTCCTTAATGTCCATCACCCACTTACCCGATCCCTCCACCCACCTCCCCTCTAGCAACCCTCAGTTTGTTTCCTGAGATTAAGAGTCTCTTATGGTTTGTCTCCCTCTCTGGTTTCATCTTGTTTCATTTTTTTCTCTCTTCCCCTATGATCCTCTGTTTCTTAAGTTCCACATGTCAGTGAGATCATATGATGATTGTCTTTCTCTGATTGACTTATTTCACCTAGCATAATACCCTCTAGTTCCATCCGCATCATTGGAAATGGCAAGATTTCATTTTTTGATGGCTGCGTAATATTTCAGTGTGTGTGTGTCCCATCTTCTTTATCCATTCATCCAGACATAATTTTCATATATAATTCTATAAAATTCGCATTAGTCTATAGTTGCAAAATACAGATAAGTGATTTTCTGGGGATAGGACAGTAGACCTGAATGGACAGGAAGGAGAGATTACAAAGAACTGCTAGGAAACCTTTGAGGAATGGATATGTTCATCATTTTGGTTGTGGTGATGGTTTCACACTTGTATTGCTCTGTCAGAACTTAACAAATAGTTCACTTTAAATATGTGCAGTTTATTGTGTATCATTTATGTGTCAATAAATGCAGAAGTAACAAATAATCAGCTCTTCTGTGTTTAGCTTAGGGGGGTATTCTCTCAAAAATAAATTGATTGTTTTATTTTGTCCATTAGATATAAAATTACTATTGGATTCTGATACATAATAAAATCATTTACCCATACTCTTAAATTATTGTGGAAAACAGCATAAAAGTTTTAATTTTTAAACTCTTCTTTCTTTTCCTAAGTTTTCTTCAAGGCAGTCTGTTAATAGTAGGAAGAAAATGGATGTTAGAGTAAACCAATTTGTATTTGAATCCAGTTTCTACAGTCTTCTGTATGCGTAACCTTCGGCAAGTTAATCAATACCTGAATCTGTTTACTAATTAACTTGGAGATATCTACCTCATAATATTGTTTTAAAAAGTCACCTGAGATAACAGTGTTTTCTAGTAACACTTTGCACAGTACCTGCAATTTTCTGTATGTATGATCTTGGGCAAGTTACTTTCTCTAAAAATATTTTCCAATCTAAAATGGAGATACCTATCTTATAGGATTGTTTTGAGAACTGACTGAGATAACATGGTTGTTTACTGTAATATATCTCATAGAATATGCATATGGGGTTTAGAATATGTAAGTTTCTTTCACCTTCAGCAGACTCTAAAAATATGTTCCAAATTATCAGTTTCCCCATCAAGAATTTAAAATTACAACCAAGGTTTAAAAAACTGAGCTTAAAAATTAATGCTTGGTTTGTATCTGCTATTGAAGTTTGTACTATACAATTCAGAGTTTATCATTTCTGCTCTATATGAAAGTTTTCTCAAAGTTTAGTGTAATTTGGGGCGCCTGGGTGGCTCAGATAGTTAAGCATCTGCCTTCGGCTCAGGTCATGATCTCCAGGTCCTGGGATTGAGCCCCACGTTGGGCTCCCAGCTCTGCGGGGAGTCTGCTTCTCTTTCTCCCTCTACCTCTCCCCCTGCTTGTGCTTATGCTTGTGCTCTCTCTCTCTCTCTCTCTCGAATGAATAAATAAAATGTTAAAAAAAAAATTCTGTGACCATTGCTTGATCCTAGATGGAATAAATAATTTTAATCTCAATCCTTTCAGAATTTTTCCTGCTTCTTGATTTATGTTGTTAAGTCTAATTAAGAATAGTGTGTTCTCATTATTGAGATGCTACTGAGAACAATTTCGCTTTTTGTTAATTTAAGACTGGCTCAAATTGAGAAAAATCTCCTTTATGTTGTATATAACTCGATGAACTGTATCTGTTTCTGTACTTTGGAAATTCAGGTAAAAGGACCAGATAATAATAAATGATTCTCAGATTAGGACTCTCATGTAGGTATAACTCATGGTATTGCTTCTAGATGTCTGGCCTGCCCTGCACTAAATTTTTAGTTTAACCAGAATTTTGAAAATGATCATAGAATTAGAACCACATCTGAACAACTACCTCCACTTTAGATTTTGGGAGGACTCTAGATCGTGGGCCTTCTGGAATAAGACGCTCTTTTGTGATTTCCATCATGGTTCCCAGCCCCTGTGCTTTGGAGTCATTATAGAAGGTTATCAATTTGCGTCTGAATTTCCTTCATCAGCTAATACTAGAATGACCACTGTTACCTTGTGAGGGATGTCCTACTTTAAATATTTGGGAAACACACTTCTTTCAGATCCCTTGGTATTTTAAGAGCTTATAAAAATTATGTCTTTAAATACTGTTCTTTGACTACTGGTATACATTGAATCTTTTTAAAGCAACAGTTTATTTTGGAATATGTAGATTTATATGTGAACTTCTTGAGAGCTTTTTTCAGAACTCATTTAAATTCTTAAATTAGTCTCTATGAGTTTAACTTACGATATTTACACTAAAGTATTTAGATATATGTACTATGGTTTCTTTTTATTTATTGAGTTTACTTTTTTCTTTTGCAGATGGTGATGCCCAGTCACTTAAGGAACATCTTATTGATGAATTGGATTACATACTATTGCCAACTGAGGGCTGGAATAAACTTGTCAGCTGGTACACATTGATGGAAGGTCAGGAACCAATAGCGCGAAAGGTACATATTTAGAATAAGTGAATAAAAATATTTTTCTTGAACAGTTCACATTTTATTGTTAATTTAATGACTTATGAAGCCTCATCAGTTATCTAGGAGAAAAAGACCATCAAAATGTACTTTTACACTGTATAATAATAACAACAGTTAATACCTATAGAGGATTTACTATTTGCTAGTCACTGTTATAAGCAAATTATACATTATTAATAATTTAATCCTCACAGGAAACTCTATAGGGTAGGTATTATTATCTTCATTGTAGATAAGGAAATAAAGACAGAGGTAGAGAAAGTTTCAATTTAGAAACTTAGGCAACCTGTTTTCTTAATCACTGTGCTGCAAGTTTTACAATTAAAGTCTAGAAACGTTAAAAATGATCCATTATCTTCACTTTTTGGAACTAAAAAGTTACTAAAAAGTGAGGATCTTGTCATCATAGCAGAATACCAAATGTTTAAAGTAGATCTGTCAATCTTACATAAGTATTTGTTAGTGTATGGGGCGGTGAAGGGGAAAGAAGGAAGTGTTTGGGGACTGGAATCTCTGAGCATATAATTATTTATCTGTGTTGTTTTTTTCCACACAGAAACAATTAAAAAGCCAAATTCTGTAACACAAGGGTACAAACCTAGTAGACCAAACCATACATGGATTTATTTGGAACTGATGCTACAGAGTAGCTGTATTAACAATTTGTATGTATATATTGGTGGTGTAGGTATAGAATTAAATTCTGTTTTCTAAATAGAATGTGAATGTACCTTTGATTTAGTTCAGTTTAGTTTTTTTTTTTAAGATTTATTTTTTTGAGAGAGAGTGAGAAAGAGAACATGAGCAGGGGGGAAGGGCAGAGGGAGAAGGAGAAGCAGACTCCCCGCTGAGTAAGGAGCCTAATGCTGGACTCGATCCCAGGACCCTGGGATCGTGGCCTGAGCCGAAGGCAGATGCTTACCCAACTGAGCCACACAGGCACCCGGGTTCATTTTAGTTTTGACCCTTAACTTCACTCAGCCTTCTCTTACAGCTATTTCAAAATTAGGATTTCTGTCTTTTAGGAATTCTAGCCTTATACACATAAAATGACCTATTTTATCTATATTTGCTAGAGAATTGAGTGTTTTGATCAATTGAAGGGTAGATTGTTTAGCTCTAAAACTGTTTAGAAGAAGTTATTCCTGGGTTAAAGGAAAATCTGTGCCTGGAATATCTTCAAATATGCTAACCTGTATTACTTTAACTTTAATGATAAACTTTTCTTTTTCTTAATAAAGGTAGCATATTATAGAATACAAGTATTTGGTATGGTAAGCAGACCAACCAATAACTTCATTGGCATTACTTTTTGAAAGAGGCCGTTTTGGAATTTCTTAAAATCTGTGCCTGATAGCAAATTAAAATAAGTAAATAAATAAAAATCATGAAAATTTCATACAGGTAGAGAGAAAAAAGTTTCTCTGTTAGGAGGCCATCCATTTATTTTTAACAAGATAGTTTGAATTTATTCAACCTGTAAGATAATATTTAAGCTTTAGTGTGCATAAGATTAACCAGGGTTTTTATTAAAATGTGTCTTCCTCCAAAATTAAATTAGTAAGTCTGGGAATTTCCACCTTTACTTTGCCCCCATGTGACTCTTATGACAATGAAATTTACTTAAAGAATGACATTTTTTTAAGGGTTTGAAGCCCAACTTTGAACTTTACTAATCTCTGATTGAATTGAGGAACCTAGGATTGGTAGATGTCATGCAGAAACAAAGTAGTTAAGCATCTCTCTGGGCCTCAAATCATCTCTAAAATATTTTGCTTATAGTATGAGGCACTCAGTTAAAACAATAATAAAACAGGCAAAAGTAAACATAAATGAACAAGAAATACAGTGGAACCAAAATCCAAGAGAAACAATAGACAATAGAAACAGACCCATAAGGAATCCAGATAGTGGAGTTACCAGACAGAAACTTTAAAGTACTGTGCTTATTATCTTTAAAAAAATAAGACAGTCGAAGGACAAAACTGTTAAGAACCAAATATAATTCCAGAACTATTAAGATCCAAATATAATTCTATAATTCTAAAATAATATGAAAAAATTAAGAAGTAAATACTCAGTGTTTGAGTTGTAGGACGCTAAATAGAACCAAAGAGAAAATTTGTAAACTAACATTAGTAGAAAATATAAAGACTAAAACTTAGAGAGACTGAAGGATGGAATGCATAGAAATAAGCAAAGACACTTGGAGCACAGTGCATAATTTTAATATACATATAAGTGGGCTCTTAGAAGGAGAGGAAAGTCAGAATAGGGTAGAAATAACACTGGAGTTAATAGCTGAGAATTTTCTAAAACTGATGAAAGGTGACATGCTATATAGAATCAAGAAATGCTGTGAAGGGGGGCCTGGGTGGCTCAGTCGTTAAGTGTCTGCCTTCGGCTCAGGTCATGATCCCAGGGTCCTGGGATCGAGCCCCACATTGGGCTCTCTGCTCAGCGGGAAGCCTGCTTCTCCCTCTCCCCCTGCTTGTGTTCCCTCTCTCACTGTGTCTCTCTCTGTCAAATAAATAAATAAAATCTTAAAAAAAGAGAGAAATGCTGTGAAACCCATGCTAAAAAAAAAAAAATACAAACAAAACTATACCCAATAAAATTATTCAAAGGCAAAAAGATATTCCAAGTAGTAGCCCAAAAAAAGTCTATTACCTTCAAAGTAAGAATAAACAAAGAAATGATTTCTCAAGAGAAATGAAAGCTGAAAAATAACCATCTTCAACATGATGAAAGAAAAATAACTGCCAACTTAGAATGCTATAAGCAAGGAAAGGATTCTTCAGAAAAGGATCCTTCAGGTGGTGAAAAAAGCTATTTTTCAGATAAACAAATTGATAGAATTTGTTACTAGCAGACCTGCTCTAAAGGAAATACAAAACAGTATTTAGAATGGAAGGAAATTATTACATATAGAAGCTTGGAGACATAGAAAATGTTTGACAGCAGTAAATATTGTGAATAAATGTGTTAAGGCAGACTATTTAAAATGGTAGTAATTTCTTATTGAGATGAATATATGCATAAATTTAAAATATATAATATTTGCATATAAGTTAAGATAGTAGCCTCCTTGGTAACCTCCAGTGAGCTAATCCTTGGGTAGTCTCCTGTGGCCAGCAATATATAGCAGAAGTTATAGTAGGTATATCACTTTCAAGATTAGATTTTAGGGTCAAGGGAGTGAAAAGGTACAAACTCCCAGTTATAAAATAGGTAAGTCATGGGGGTGTAAATATATAGCATGGTGACTATAGTTAATAATACTGTATTATATTTTTGAAAGTTGCTAAGACAGTAAGAGTAGATCTTAAATGTTCTCATCACAAGAAAAAAATTTTGTAATAGGATGGTGGACGTTAACTAAACCTATTGTGATCATTTCACAACATAGACAAATATTGAATCATTGTTTTACACCTGAAACTAATATGTTATATGTCAGTTGTACGTCATTAAAATAGAAGAGATCAGATTATAAAAGACACCTTGACTCACACTTGGGTGCACATGCCCTCTTGCTCTCTCTCATTTCTCAGTCTGGGGACTTCAACTGCATACTCAGGCAGCCTGTAGCGGGGCTCACATGGTAAGGAACTGATATCTCTGACCAGTAGAGAGAAATGGAGGCCTGCTAACAACCATGTGAGTGAGCTTGGAAATGAATCCTCCAGTCTCATTCAGCTTTCAGATAATTGAAGCCCCAACCCACAGCTTGACAGTTCAGGAGACCCCAAGCCAGAACAACCCAGCTAAGCTGCTCCAGATTCTTGACCCTCAGGAACTATGTAAAATAATGTTTACTCTGTAAAGTCACTCTGAGTTTGGGGGTGATTTAGTATGCAGCAACAGAAAACTGATAACTAATTTGGTACCTGAAGTAGTGTGCTGCCTTTACAAAATTTGAACTGTGGTGGTGGCTTTGGAACCAGGCAGGGAGTAAAAGCTGTAAGAACCTGCAAGAGTATTAATGAAAGCCTAAGGTGCCTTGAATAAATTGTTAGTAGAATTTTAGACTTTAAGGAGGCTGCCAGTGAGGACTTACAGGAAAGTGAAGAAAATCTTATAGGAACCCAGAAGAAAGTGATCTTTGTTATAAGGTAGCAGAAAGTTTAGCAACATTTCAACTGCAGTAAATTGAAAGGTAGAAAATATATCTCATAAGCTGAATGATCTGCCAGAACTGCCTGGTTTTTCTTGTGCCTGCATATAATCAGATGTAAGAAGGGAGAGAGAAACTAAAGAAAGGGCTGTTAAAAAGGAGCCAAGACTTACTAGTTTTGAGGATTTCTGGCCTCTCCAGATGACGTACAATGCTGAAACTATGTTATGTTCCCAAGCAAAGATGAAACTCAAGGCTCTGAGGAAAGCATGACCAAAAAGAGCCACAGGTATGACGGTAAAATTCTTTAAGACCTCAGAAAAATCAAAGGTGGTGCCTCACAATACTGTTCAGACAAAAGACCCTTTAAAGAATTTCAGGGTGTACTTTACACTTCCTTTCAATTTGTTGCTTCTAAGAACTCTAGGGCTTCTAAGAAGCTTAAGAGCATTGCCCTTCAATCTTCTCAGCATAAACCCAAGATAAGACATATCTAGAGGACATTTGTGGATGTGACTTTTTGTCTAATGGAATGAGACTCCAGTGAGATCCACTGGAGACCTATGATGTTTTCAAGAAGCACTACCATCTTGGACTACAGAGACAGTGTAAAATCAAAGAAGTCTCCTAGACTCCTACAGGCAGTAGTCAGACTAAGTATTTACTCAACTGCAAACATGTGCTAACTTTTATGAAAATTGTATGACCCAGGATGCAGAATCAAGTGTTGTGAAGACTCATTTTCAGGTAAGGTCAGAAAAAGTCCTTATCAAGGAACTTTAAGTATTTGCCCAGGTGGATTTCAGAATTTCTGTGGACCATTGACTCCTTTGTTCCTCTTTCCCCTGTGCTCCTTTTAACAGGAATATCTAAAAAAATTATCTTCTGCATGCCCCACCATTTTATTTTGGGTGTATGTGGGGCAGAAAACTTACCTTGAAGTTCACAGAATTATAAAGAAAAACTATACTCAAGATGATTAAGAAACTATACCTAAGGATTCTTATCTGCACCTGGATCAGATATAAATAACAAGTTTCTGACTTGGAGTTGATGTTATAATGGGATGATACTAAGGGGGCTTTGCAGGGAGTGAATGTATTTTACATGTTGTGGGGAGGGACTGTGACTTATTGGGAGCCAGAGAGTAGACTGTGGTAGCCATCCTCAAAACGTTCCCCAGTGATCACCACCTCCTGGTATTCATACTCTTGTGTAATCTCCCACATTGTACCAGAGTTAGTCTGTGTGACCAGTAAAATATGGCAGAAGTGATGTGTTACTTCTGGGATTAGTTTGTAAAAGATGTTGGTGAGGAGTGCTCTTTTGCGCACTCTCTCTGGTCAGTCACTCTGAGTGAAGCCATATTGCCATATAGCCTATAGAGGCACTGACATAATGAGGAGCTAAATTATCTGTCAACAGCTGGAGAGGATCTGAGGACTGCCAACAACCACATGATTGAGCTTGGAAGCAGATTTGAACATGATTAAGCAGCATGACCTAATTGGCATACATTGCACTTAGTAAATGCAGAATAGAAATTCTTCTTAAGTGGAGTTTTTACCAAAATTGACCATTTGCTCGGCCATCAAGCAAATTCCACTATATTTCTAATGATAGAAATTATTCAGTGTATTTTCTGTCCCCAGTGGAATTTAGAAGTCAGTAACAAAAAGGTAACAAGATTGTCTCCTAGCTACCTAGAAATGGAATAATATACTTCTAAAGTAATCCTTAGGTCAAAGAAGAAATACAAAGTAAAATCAAACATTTTAAACAATGATAACAATACAATATAAAAGTGACTAAAGCCATTCTTACAAGGAATGTGATAGCTTAAATGTATATATTACAAAAGAAGAAAGTCAAAATGTATTGGCTCAACAAGTTAAGAGAAGAAAAGGAAATTAAGCCTAATCAAGAAATAATAATAAAAAAAGACATTAATAAAAAAAAACCTACATTAAATGAACAAAGTTGACCCAAAAAACAGTGAAGTTAGACCAGTAAAATAAAACATAGGTCCTGGCAAGACTGATCAAAATAAAATAATGCCCAGGGAGTTTTGGGGGGGGGGGGTGTCTCCAAACTTTTTCTGTGAAGGGCCAGATAGTAAATATTTATGAGCCAGGGTAGTCTCTGTGGAAAGTATTCATCTCTGCTGTTTTGGGTGCGGCCATAAATGATATATAAATGAATGGACATGACTATGTTCTAGTAAAATGTTATTTACAAAAATAGATGACGAGTCAAATGTAGCCTGTGGGTCATAGTTGGCCCATCCCTGATCTTGGCCCTGGTTAATTAATGCCTACCAGCATCACAAAAAGAGGGGCAACTAGATATTATTTGCATCTTATTTAGAATATCTCACTACGTATGAAGTAGTCTTACTAAAAATTGCGAGAATAAAAGGACAGATGGTGAACTTTTCAGTTAAATGACATTTTAGAGCTTTATCAGTCAATTACAGTGCATGGGCTTTATTTGGATCCTGATTCAATACAAATGAGATGGGGACAATTTGAACATTGGCTGGGTATTTGCTATTAAGGGATTAGTTTTAATTTTGTTAGGTGTGGTGTGGTATTACGGTTCTTGAGTCCTTGTTTTTGAAGAAATATATCCTGAAATATTTGTGGATAGAATATTATGAGTAGAATGTTATGTATTAACACCTATAATCTCATAGTTGAGTTATACTTCTCTACTTGTCTATTTTTTACCACTAGTAAGCATAGTACTCAATAAGTGCTACAAAAACAAATGTAGCTACCTCCTCAAAAATAGTAAATGTGTCCGATTAGGCCATGTCATCAAATTGTTTTAGAGTACCAGATTTCTTTAGAAGTAACTTTGTTTCCAAAGGGGAAGAAGTAAGCGCTTGGAATTAAGTAAAGTTTCTGTGAAACTTTCATATGGCAATTTAAAGAGTACATTAGGTTTATCAATATATTTCATGACTTTCTACAAAATGCTGTCTAATATTCACAGCAAAATGAACAAATTATATTTATTTTAATTCAATATAAATTTGTATTTCCCGCACTAATTTAGTAAAGAGATTTTACCTTCATTGTGGCCATCAATTAATGGAACTATTTTTATTTAGCCATAAGTTTTAAATTTTGGACAGGAAGCCAGATTTCATCTTATGCTTGCTCTTTATTATAGTTCACTTAGAAAAAATATTTTGGCGGTCACCTGTACTTCTGAAACATAACTATTATTTCTGAATATTCATGTTCCATTCTTTCATTTTTTTTATGTTAGGTTAATCACCATACATTACATCATTAGTTCTTGATGTAGTGTTACATGATTCATTGTTTGCGTATAACACCCAGTGCTCCATGCAGTACATGCCCTCTTTAATACCCATCACCAGGCTAACCCATCCCCCCACCCCCCTCCCCTCTGTCCAGTCTTATTTCAAATGTGTATTTTAGTGGTCATAATAATTAGGTAAGTATAACTTTGTACCTTGTTTTTTATAAGCCTGTTTCTTCCTATTACACAGTCTTCATTATTTTAAATGGTTATTTTTAGTGCATTTTTAATAAGGTAGTAGACTTAATATAAACAAATATAGAAAAGATGTTATATAAATAAATAATCTACATACAACCGTAATAACACTGATACATAAAAATGCTAATTACTTTTCTCTGCTATGGAGTTACTCTGTTCAAGCTTTAATTATTCATATAGTATGGTTCTTTAAAATAAAAATAGTTGGGAGGACAGACTCATATTTTCTTTAAAAAAACAGCTTTTTAATACACTGCTTTTGGAAGTAGTAAAATGTCTTATGAACATAATAGTATTTAGAGTACTGATGATGAGGGTTTCAACAATATAAGATATTGTTGGAGAGAAGAAAAAAAATGGTGAGAAAAGTCCTGAAACCCACTAAGTGGATTTTGAAATTATCTTGGTGTTTTGTTTTCATTGTTTATAATGACTTTCTAACAGTTAAATCACTAGATTTTTTTTTCCAGGAAATATCTATTAGTGTTATGAAAATTAATCCTCATTTTTTAAAACTATGCTTATTTAGAAAAATATATCTATAAATAATAATGAGGGATTTTCTTTTTTGTTATTTTATCCTGTTTTGTTATGCCATTACTTGCTTTATTGTTGATCATTCCATTTTTTCCCCTAAAAATGAGGCCTGTAGGCACCTCAGTTTTAGCAACCTACCAATGGTTAGTATTAATATTATTTTAGGATTCTTACCAAGATATTAAGTCCCAGAGCAAAAATTTCGATTGATAGGAATATTTGATTTCTGGTTTTTCTACTTAAATATAGCTACACGTAATCTTGTAAAATTAAATGATATGGTATCTTTTGCTACATTCTTAACCTCAAAATAAATAAGCATAAGAAATTTAAAACAAGTTTCATTAGTTAAGAGACAATTTATATATTAGTTTGTAAAATTAAGAGAGAGGTGCAGGCTGTTGCCTGTTTTAGAAATGTGAATATAACAAGTATAAATAAGAGAATATAAATGACAAAGTATTATAAAAATTAGTGTTGGATTGGACATTAAATATTAGCTAAACTACATTTGAATTTTTTGAGCTAACACAATTTCCCTGCAAGTGAAAGACAAATTTTAAGGCCTTTACTGAACTGATGCTAAGCTTGTGAGTTACAGCAGTTATTTGGAGCCTCCCTGTAGCCATATTTGTCTAATGTATCACATATCAGGCTGATTACTATTTTCAGAAGCAGTATTCATGACTGAAATCCTACAGTTAACCTTTAGAAGATCAAAAGGAAATATACTTATTTAAAAGGTGACCCTAATATATACATATTTTCTCTTTTCCTGCTTTGTTGCTTGCATGTTTAGCAGCTTTTTTTTCTTTTTTCCATTCGTTGCATAGAATTACTAAGAGTGTATTTAAAGGTCAAACAAAGTCATCTTAGGATGGAAAACTAACATATCAATTACAGGCCATAGCGGAGTATTTTGGCAGCAGTAATTTGGAGTTATTGTAAAAGATTTATTTTAACATATAGAGTGATTTAACATACAGAGTTAGCTGTTGCTAACTGAAGTTTTATAAAATTTATCATTTTTAAAGGTTTTCTGCTTGGGATCAAGTACTAAAAGCTAGCAGTAGGTCTAGATCATTAATCAGAGCTATATTTACATTGGGGGTAAACTTTCTCATAATAAATACTGAATGGATTAATTATTTATAGTATACCAGAGTATCTTCATAGATGAGTAGAATGCCTTTCCAAACTATCTGTTAATGTTTAATGTGATTATTCATAGTCTGTTAAATATTCCAAATATGTTTCTGGCTTTTTCAACTATTTAGTATCTCTTATTTCATATTAACAGTTTTTAATATTTTTTTTTTTTTTGGAGAGCTGCAGTTTTTTCCTAAAGCCTTTTTAGAGAAATATATTGCTGTTAGAGACAGTGAAATATATTGAGCTATAGCTAACACTGATTTGTTCTGGTTTTTAGGTGGTTGAACAGGGTATGTTTGTAAAGCACTGCAAAGTAGAAGTATATCTCACAGAATTGAAGCTCTGTGAAAATGGAAACATGAACAATGTTGTAACTCGAAGATTTAGCAAAGCTGACACAATAGGTAATGCAAGATCCTGTCTCTTTGTTGAACCATTGCTATTAGAAATTTAGTTGTAATTCTATTTCTTATATGCCACTGGGATGATAGCCTTTTTAAGGGTTTATACTTAAACATTACAGATTTCCAACACTGATGCAATCAATATATCTTAGCCTAGAGTTGAATTATTTATCATGTCTAGATCTACTTTACATTGTTAGATGAGTTTATTATTTGTGCCATTTTACTTTTTTAAAAAAATCAAATAATTACTGTTTTAATTGAGCATTTGAAAAAATACATATGTTTGTAACCTGAGTATAAAGTAGAACTGTAAGTAAAAATAAAAACTTGATTAAATAAAAACTTTTCAGGTAATGTAACATAGATATCCTCCATCATCATCATCATGATAATGTTTCCCCTTCTTAGCATGGAAAATGACAAACTTTTTATTTCCCTTTTTCCTGTTTATTCTCTGGGCTCTAAATGCAAATTAAGTAGCTACTTAGATAAGACAGTAGGCTTAGCATTTTTATGACAAATTGATTTTTTTCTTCTCTAACAGTGAGTAGGTTAAGAAATTATAGTCTCAAATACAAATGTACCTAACTCCCACTGTATATTTATAGATCTACATATACTTATATATTTATGTATCTACACATCTAAGTGCATATTAAAATGTGGGGTTTTTTTGTATTTAAAAGCCACATTTTAATTTAAGATCAAGAACATGTTGAATGAGGATGCCTGGGTGGCTCAGTTGGTTAAGCAGCTGCCTTAGGCTCAGGTCATGATCCCAGGGTCCTGGGATTGAGTCCCGCATCGGGCTCCCTGTTTGGTGGGGAGCCTGCTTCTCCCTCTTCCTCTCCCCCTGCCTGTACTCGCTCTCTGTCTCTCTGACAAATAAACAAATAAAATCTTTAAAAAAAAAAATGTTGAATGAGATGTTTTTAAAATAAATGATTATGGATTTAATAACAGAATTACAGTATTTTTTGATAAATCACAGCTCAAAATAAAAATTATAAAATTATATATTTTCAAGTAAAGTTATTGGAAAACAAGAGTAGTGGTAATAACATTGATCTTGTTGGAAAATGTAAACAGTGGAGACATAGCGGTTAATGCAGAACTTCTCAGCAAGAAAAAGATTAGCAAATTTATGTATAGCTTTCTTTGTTGAAACCAATCATTAAGTATACTTTGGTTAAAAGTAAATAAAAATATTTACTTTTGACTTTCACAGATATATTTGACATTTACCACTTACCCATTTCACAGCAGAAGATACTAACATATTTTTCATGAAATAACATCATCATTCTTCAGTACCCAGTGCTTGGTTAATCCTCATGTTTTTACCAAATAGAATATTATGTATGAATTTCTGTTTTCCCCCTCTTTATTTACCTAGAACATTTATAAGTTTGCAATGCTGTTTAGTAAACTCATTTTTCTAAAATGAATGCTTAAAATACTAAGAATTCCATGTATAAATGTCATTTTATTATATTAATAGAATTTCTAGGTTTGTGGAACATATTCAGGAAAATAAAACGTTTCTACATTCTAAAAACTGAAAGTTTTCAATATGTATAAAACTTCACTAATCATATTAAAGTATGCACAATAAGAATAATCTGTCCAATAAGGGTAGTCTGTTAAATTAAATCAAAAACTAATGTCTGAAATGTTCAGCTAATTGGAATATAAATGAGAAGGTACTTCTTAAAATATTTCATACAGATAATGTTTTCTAATTATTTTAAAAGTTAGGTATTTCCTTTTCTCCTTACCTAATTTCTGTGGGAAAATTATGTATAAATATGAGACAATCAGAAAGCTTGTTTTAGAACATTAGTCCACTGAATAATATTTTTAACTCATTATATGAAGATCAGCTGGTTTAATTTCTGAATTCAGTACAAGCATTACGGAGTTCTATTAAGTACTATGTAAGAATCTGTCAAGGAGATAGGTAATTTATAAAGAATCTCTGTTTCCCAAAAAGTTTATAATTCGCAAAGATTTTAATCAGCATAGTTTAAATTTACTAATACTTTAAAAAGCTACATACATTGGATATATGCCTTAAAATTGTAAATGAACTGAATTTTTATATGGCCTAAAGTTTCTTACTGAATTATGTTTGTCAAGACTATGGGTGGTTATTACATATTTTGGGAGTAAAAGAATGGAATGAAAAATAGGATAGAAAATGGCAACGCATATGTGTATATTGGGTCACAATTTCTTACTGTAGGTCTTAGTTTTTATTTTTATTTATTTTTTATTTATTTATCAGAGAGAGAGAGGGAGAGAACACAAGCAGGGAGAGTGGCAGGCAGAGAAAGGGAGAAGCAGGCTCCCCGCTGAGGAGGGAGCCCGATGTGGGACTCCATCCCAGGACCCTGGGATAATGACCTAAGCCGAAGGCAGACATTTAACCAACTGAGCCACCCAGGCATCCCTGTAGGTCTTAGTTTTTAAAAGTCTGACTATATTAGTGCAAGTTTGCTTTCTAAACAAAAGTTTTTGCTAAAATTAAACTGGGAATTTTAGAGACTTCATGATTATAGTTATCATAGTAGTTAGCCATTGTGGAATACTTACTATGTTTTTGGCACTTCTTAGAAAGTTTCTTATTTAAACCTCAACAATACCGTATCCTCTTTGGTTAGAGGATGAAGTCGAGGCTTAGGAAGGTTAACTACTTAGGTTCACCCTTGTTCCAAGTGAGAGTCCTTATTTGAACACACCGTCTCATCTCTTAGTTGCCGCCTTATACAATCTGTGCAAAAGTTAATTGGACTGATTTTGTTTTTCTAAAGGAAGGGACTGTTGAAATAATAAAATATTGGGATAATAAGAAAGGAGATATGGGATGTATATTTTTCCCTTGTGGTCTCATTTTAATTAAAAATGATCCAAATACTTACATACATAAAACATAGCTATATGTTGTATAAATAGAATTAAGAAATAGAAGGACCCGTTTTCTGTTTTTGCCAAGTTAATAAAATGTGTCATTTTCAGCTAATACTACCTACACTGACTTTATAGTTGCCATAGGCAGGATCTAAATAATTAACCTCATTCAGAGCCAAAATATCTTGCCTTTGAGTATTTCTCTCCTTAAATTGACATATTTGGGTATAGAACATCTTCCAATAAGAAATATAAAATTGGGTTTTTTATTTTTTCTTTAAGGATACACTGAAAAAATAATTTTTGTTGTAAAACTTACTGAAAAATACTTTGTTTATATAAAATTTATTAATAGAATTGCTTAACTTTATTAAATATTCCTACTAGAAATTTTGTCACAACAATTTTATTTTTATTATATGAATAATATTTTTCTAACTCTGTAAGCTTTCATTAACTGCCTAATGGAGTCAGATTCATACATGGAAAAATCTACACACACTCTCAATACTTTGAGATTCTCAACTCAAGTGATCTTAATCTGTATCCAACTTCAGGCATCAATTCCCTAGCTATACCCTAGCCTGTCATTATCTATAACTGCACGTGGCAGATCTCAATTTAAACATCCTGCTTTCTGGCTACCATTTACTCTGCTCCCATTCTCGCTTGACCCTGCTACATCAGACATCCAAACCTACCACTTCCTTGGCACTGCTTCTATGATGGTTTCTAATTACTTTCACAATGATAAATCTAATGGTAATTTCAGTCTTCCATTTTCTTAACCTGCCAGCAAAAATTAACATATTCACTTTTCCATCTAGAAATAACTTCTATTTACGTGGCTTCCATGGCACAAGTTTTCACTGCCTGCATCTTCTCGGAAAATCTGAAAACAGCCTCTTCATATTCCTGATCTCAAAACATCAGGGTGTTGCCATGCGTAGTCCTTTAATTTCCTCTTTGGTGATTTCCTTCGGTTCCCTAGCTTTTTGCTTTCTGCATATTGGTATCTTTTGAATTTATATCTCCTGCCCAGAATTCTCCCTTGTTTCCAGTTTCAGTCATTTCATAGCTTTACTTCTGTCTGATAGGAATCTCAAGATATAACATGTATGAAACTAAAGTCTGTCCTTCCCCCTCCAGAAACCTGCTGCCTGTCATTCTTCCCCATCTGAGTGATCACCACTTGTATTCTTTCAGTTGCTCAGGCTAAAAACCTTGGTATCATTCAGATTCTCTTTTGTTTCTCACCCTGCGTGTAATCTAGCAGCATATCTTCTAAGCAGTTCTTCAAAATCTCTTCTCAGTCTGACCACTTAACATTGCTTCTCCCTTAGTTTTGATCACTGCAGAAGCCTAGTCTCCTACCCTTAACATCCTGCAGTTTTTCACTAGCAGCAAAAATGTGAGTTAAATCATTCCACTTCTCTGTTCAAAACTCAATTGCTTCTCTTATTACTCAGATAAAACAGAATACTTTCATAGCTCACAAGAGTCTATATAAAGGTCTCATTTCTACCTTGTTCATTTCACTTCCTCCACATTGCTGCACCATGCTGTTCTAAAACAGGCCAGATACATTCCCACCTCAGGGCCTTTTGCACTCCTTTCTTCTGCCTCTAATATTCTTCCCCAACATGTGAGTAGTTTGCAAAACTCCATGAAGAGGAAATTCCCATATGTGTCTGTGTGTATTGTATTATGTATGTAAATATCTGTGTATATTAATAGATAAGTGTCTGAAAGAAGAAATAAATGTTAACAATGGCTCTCTCTATAGACATTTTATTTATATTTTCTAAATTTTTGCAATGAGCAAGAATTATTTATACAATCAGGAAAAAAGTACTCATTTTTATTAGAAAGACTAAAATGACCTCCCTTCCTCAGCTTCTTCCTCTAGCCTCCTTCCTACATAATGTTCTGTTTCTTGATCTGTGTGCTAGTTATATGGGTGTGTCCGCTTTGGAAATTTATCATTATATACTAATGACCTGTGCATTTACACTTCAATAAAAACAACAAAAAAATCCACCAAAATAGAAAGCAGTACTTTTAGTGTATTTTATGTAATTATTTAAATATTCTGGCTAATTTGCACTTAAGATTTCAGATCCACCTTAAGATTTCCTATTTATTTAATACCTTAATCAAAATCTCATTGACTATGACTATTAAAGAACTTCAGCTGCTAAATAGGGCATAAACAGTATTATTAGACTGAATTTAATGATGTAGGATTTAATGATGTAGGATTTCTTTAGACAACATGTATTATTAGGTTTAGTATTTTAATGTTTCTTTCCAAAACTAACCAAATATTTTAAAATGTAGAAGTATTTTATAATTCTTCGTATGTCATTAGGTGTTTTACTGTTTTCTTGAGTCTAAGATAGGCAGACAAGTTATTAACCAGAATTCAGTAGATTTAACAATATTTTCTAATGTCTCTTTCTCATGTTTAAAAATTTTAAAGATTCATTTAACTTTGTGGCACTGAAGCTTAATTACATCTCTACTCTCCAGTATGTGGGTACTCCTGTGTCTTACTTTATAGCAAGTTAAGCTGCTCCGGTTTAAAAAAGGTTTTTTCCACTCACATAAATGATTTAGAAATAAGGAAGATATATAGTTTTACTGTGAAAACAAATTTTTACCAATACAGACATCCCTTCAAAGAAGGCACTTTCCTTTGTGTCCATATATTCTATTTAATTTTAGTAAACTATTCAAACTGTAAATAATATTCAGTTTAATATAAATTATCCTGAGATTGGTTATGTTATGTTACAGTTAAAAATATTTTCTATCTACAGCATCTCTGACTCATACTATATCTAAATCCAACATATCATCAGAAGATACATTGAATTTATAGTTTGTAAAAAGTTAAAGGTCATCCTGTATAATATAAATTATACTGTGGTGTTATGTGATTGAACTCTTCTCCCTTGCGAGATCTTAGTTTCCCCAAATAATTGTCTGTCAGAGTTATAATTACCATTTTGTTCCTGAAAAGCACACCAGGTTGTCTTTATTGTTCTTTATATATGTCCTACATATTTGTTCATCTATTCTTGCTATTATATCAGTATTTTAAATTTAGGATTTTTATGCTGGTGAGCACTTAGCTATGTGTGGTATATTTTTAAATATTTATTATATTTATATATCTTTCCTCCTTAAATCTAGATACAATTGAAAAGGAAATAAGAAAAATCTTCAATATTCCAGATGAAAAGGAGACCAGATTGTGGAACAAATACATGAGTAATACATTTGAACCACTGAATAAACCAGACAGCACCATTCAGGATGCTGGTTTATACCAAGGACAGGTATTGTTTAGCAATACTGTTTATTTTAAGTATACTATACATGAAGCTTTTTGGAGTCACGAACTTTATGAATATCTTGACAATCTATAATGGGTTCTACTGTCTCTGGCTTCGTCTTTCTAACTCATCTCTTCCCTATTCCTGCTGACCACTAGCAGTAAATTTTGCTTCCCTCCTTGAGCTTAGAATAACCTACTTTTTAAAAAAATTATTTTCCATCGATAAAACAGCTAATACAATAATATGGGTCAGCAAACTTTCTATAAGGAATCAAATAGTAAATATTTTTGGCTCTGTAGCCCGCATGGTCTCTGTTACAAGTACAACTCTTCCATTGTAATAACACAAAAGTCATGGACGATATGTAAACAACAGGCTTCATTTACAAAAGCAGTCAGTGAGCTAAGTGAACGGTAGTTTGCCAGGCCCTGGTAAGGTATCAACCTCCAATTTGGTCTTTCTTTATAATCCAAAGAAATGAATGTGTTAAGAAATGAAAATATTTAGACATAATCAGCAAGTCTTACTGATTCTACCCTCTAAATATTTCTTGAATTAATCTCTCTATTCCATTCTTAGCCCTGTCTTTCAGTAGTGTCTTAACAGGTCCCTCTGCGTCTAGTCTTTTGTATGTCCATTCTCAGTCTTCCGTATTTCTGTTAGAACACTCTTTCTAAAATGTAAACCTCAATGTTTCTTTATTGTAAACCTTTCCTGATTACCTAACAATTGTAGAATAAAGTCCAGGCACCTTAACACAACATGCAAGTCAAGGTTTGACCTTGTGGCTAGTCTTCCAGCATCTTTAGATTATCCTTGCCTCATGATTTATACAATGATTCATACAATACCAAACTGGACTGCTTAAGGTTCCCTAAGCATTCTATGCTATTCCCAACTCCTGTCCTTTCATCTGTGTTATTCCATCTGCCTGTTGTACCCTTCTTCCCAATACCTGCATCCATCCAGCAAAAAAAGTCCTTTTAAAACATCAAAATATTCAAACTAACCATTCCATTCTATCATGTAGTCTAATCAGATCAGATTGTTCATTCTTCATTCTTCAGATTCCAGCTCAAATGTCACATCATCTCTTCAGCCTTTCCTGATCTGTTTTTCTCAATATGTACTTAAGGCATAATGAGTTTTCTACTTTGGAGAAAAAATTACTCCCTTAACTTCATAATGATTTATGTATATGTCTTTTGTGTCATTCATTATGTACTTTATTTATATGTTGAGCTTCTCCACTAGACTTTGAGTTCCTTGTTTTAGTTGGACTTTGTGTCTATTTTTGTTTTTATTTTTAGTATCTAACACAGAGCCTGGTCCTCTGATATATGGAGATTTTTATTTTGTTCTGTTTTATTAAAAATAATTATTGACAGGAGCACCTGGGTGGCCCAGTTAGTTAAGCGTCTGACTTCAGCCCAGGTCATGATCTCAGGATCCGGTATCGAGCCCCGCATTTGGCCACCTGCTCAGTGGGGAGTCTGCTTGTCCTTCTTCCTCTGCCCCTTCTCCTGTCTCTTTCTCTCTCAGATAAATAAAATCTTTTAAAAAATTATTATTGACATCAGTATTATGATACAAGTTGTGAAAAAAATCCAGAACAACTGAGGAAATTAATTTTTAGTAAATGTCTACTATATGTCATGTATCATATTAGGCTATAAAAACAGTGATTTTCATGGGACACCTGGGTGGCTCAGTTGGTTAAGCGGCTGCCTTCAGCTCAGGTCATGATCCCAGGCTCCTGGGATCAAGTCCCGCATGGCTCCTTGCTCAGCGGGGAGCCTGCTTCTCTCTCTGCTGCTGCTCCGCCTGCTGTGCTCTCTCTCTCTCTCTCTGACAAATAAATAAAATCTTTTAAAAAAATATATAAGAACAGTTATTTTCAGACTTATTTTAGCTATTATAGTCTTAAATGAAACCTTCAAAAAGTACTATGTATTATAATCAAAATTTGAGCTAACCTGATTAAACTGGAGTAAGGAACTCGGAACTCTCACAGTTAGTTAACACCCTGCTCCTTAGCCAGCTAGTTCCCTCTTTCACTCCTTAGTTACCATCTGTAGGTCTTGAGATAGTTCCAGGAGTACAGCTTAGAATACATAGAATCATTTCTTTAAAACTTTTCAGTGATTGAACCTATGTAATGGTTTTTATTCTATCCATCACATGCATTAGAAAACTGTGGCTTAGAGAATTTAAGTAATTTGATGTTTTTAATAGGAATGCATTTATCAGATTGCAGGTGACAGTAAATTATTTTAATAAGAAGAAGGTTAAATATCCTTACTAACATTTGATCTTTCAAAATAAGAATGTTTCAAAGAACATGCTTTAAATTTTCCGGATTTTGCAAGTTATTTTCTGACATGATAAATGAACTAAACATTATCCTGAACTTTTTTTTTTAAGATCTATTTATTTTAGAGAGAGAGCAAGAGCGAGCAGGGGGAGGGGCAGAGGGAGAGAAAGAGAATCTCCAGCAGACTCCACACTGAGTGCAAAGCCCATCTCAGGGCTCAGTCTCACAACCCTGCGATCATGACCTGAGCCTCAGTCAAGAGTCAGACTCTTAACCAACTGAGCCACCCAGGTGCCCCTGTCCTAGACTTTTTAAATTTTTTACTGAAATTAAAATGAAACATCAGAAAATAAAACAGATACATTATTGAAGAGTTTCCCCCCCAAAATGGTGGTCTTTATCTCTTTCTCTTCCCTTAAGTGTGTGTGTGTGCACGTGCACACACACACACACACACATTTAATTTAATTTTGAAAACTTTCTAAGAAAAATTCTCATCTTGAAAGTTTTTTTTTCATCTTGAAAGTTTTATGAGCAAAACTTCATTCAGAAAATAAAATATTTGAATAAAGGAGTGAATATTAACATTTCTGATGGCCTTCAACATTAATATCTGTGATTGTAAAAACATGAAATTTTAACACACATACTATTAGTAATTAAATTGTTATGGTTCAACTTTATATATTTATTTGATTCTTCAGTTTTAGGACCTTCTATTAAAAAGCAAACTACAAGTAATGATACTAAATGCATAACTTTGAAATTCTTTGTAACTAAAGTCTTTCATTTTGTAACTGATTTGTCTTCCAAATGACAAGTTTATATATATGCACATACATGTGCATAGTATGAAGTCTGTGTATATGTGTATATATATATATATATACACATATACACACAAATTTGTAATGCTTTAAATGTACTTCAAGGCATGTTTTCTCTCTGTATATATGTAGTTCATATCTAGATATCTTAATAAGTTGGGGTAATGGAAAACTCTTCAGTTAAAAATCACTAAATTCAATTTTATAAATCTATAAAAATACATAAATATATGATTATATCAGAATGATATCAGAAAATTGAGAATGATTAATTGTATGTGATAGGTAGGGAGAGGAATATGATTAGGGAGGGATTAGAATAGTAAGTACATAGTGTTCTTCTTTATATGCTATGTATACTTCATACATATTCTTTGCATGTAGGAAATAGTAATTTGTTTTTCCTTTTTTATTTAAATTCAATTAATTAACAAAAAATGTATTATTTGTTTCAGGGGTACAGGTCTGTGATTCATCAGTCCTGTATAATACCCAGTGCTCATTACAACACATACCCTCCCCAATGTCCATCACCCACTTGCCCCATCCCTCCACCCACCTCCCCTCCAGCAACCCTCAGTTTGTTTCCTATGATTGAGAGTCTCTTACGGTTTGTCTCCCTCTCTGATAACTTTAATATTTTAATTAGCATACTCTTTGAACAAGCTGGTTCCATGAATTTTTCTGTTGATCACTTTTATCATTCGTTGTGTGTATTCTGAAACAGGCTTATATTTTACATGGTTAGGATCCAAATGCCAACTTATAAATGGCCTGAAACATTCAGTCCACAAAAGTATTTTACAAGAGTATGTCGAATAGGTTACAAAATTGAAACTTTAAGAAAAAGAGTTGAAAGTGAATATCTAGAATGTATTCAAATTTGTAATGCCTTGAATTTATTTCAAAGCATGTTTTTATGTTATAGTTCTCCCATGGAAATTTGGTTATTAACTTCTTATTGACATCACATATTTCTTTTGCTTATTCAGTTATTTTTGCTTAGTTTTTTTTCTTTGCACAGACTCACCCATAGCAAAAACTGGAAAAAAGGCTTTTTTAAACAAGAAGATAAGAGGAAGGATTCTGTGATATTTTAGAATAAAGCATAGCTCTGCCTTGCCCTGTACTTTACATTTTTTAGAGTTGCTTTCTGCCTTAACCGTGCTGTAGTAAGGAACTTGAATCTGATTCTCACAAATGTGGCTCTATCATTTATATATTAAAAGATTCTGTAATTTATATAGTAATAATGTAAATAAAGGCAAATTTTAAAGCCCCAAATAAATTATATATAATCTGTAATTTGGAATTATCTGTGTCACTGTTTTTCAGGATTTGCGTAATAATAGTTAGCCAAGATTATACATCAGTATTTTTAACAACTGTGACCATTTATTGAGCATCTGGGTTTTTTTGCATAGTACTATGTTACAGCCTGCAAATAGAAAAGAAGTAGAAAACATATTCCCTAAACTCAAGGAATGTATATTCTATTTATATTGCCCAGCTTTGGCATCAAAATGCAAATACCTCTTCACCTAGTCTACTCTGTCCTTTAAATAATTCCAGATTTACTTTAGTTTCATAGTGTATCCAGCTAATCTTCTAAAGCTATTTTAACTTTAACTTTTTAAGGAAAAACACTCTTCTATTGTGTCATATTTACAGGTGTTAGTGATAGAACAGAAAAATGAAGATGGAACATGGCCAAGGGGTCCTTCTGCTCCTAAGTAAGTGCTCCCACTTTTTATGGCTGATTGCATGTTTTAAAGGCTTTGATTTCAGATAACAAAATCCAGAATGATAGAAGATAGCTAATTGTATGTTGCAAGTATATATACCTACTTAATATTTTAATATTTTATTCTCAGTATAGAAGTTATGTGAATTTGTACTTAAATTAATATGCTATAATTTAAAGCCTTCCAAATCAAATCTCTTTTAGAATAAGGTACAGTGTACATATGTTGTAACTATTGTGTTGCATTGTCTAATAACGTCAAATCACTATTAAGCATTTTGTTTAATATTTTTCAAGCTTTTTGTGTTTTTTTAACGTATCTGTTAAAGAATACTCTATCAAAATGAATCTGATGTGAAAGCAATATTTTTATTTAAATGTTTTAGAATATAAAAGCACAAATAGAAATAGAGGAGTGTAAGAATTGCTTCTGACGGTAAATGAGGGATGAAAGAATTAGAAATATTTTTTTTTAAACATGGTAAGAACCCTTAACTTGAGATCTACCCTCTTAACAAGTTTTTAAGTGCACCATACAGTATTGTTAACTATAAGCAAATTGTTGTATAGTAGATCTCTAGAGTCTATCCATCTTATGTAACTGAAACCTTGTTCCCATTGCTCAGTAATTTCCCATTTCTCCCTTCCCCTGGTCCCTGGCAGCCATCATTGTAGTGTCTGTTTCTATGAGTATTTGACTAGTTTGGATATCTCATGTAAGTGGAATCAGGTAGAGTTTGTCTTTCTATGATTGGTTTATTTTACCTAATATAATGTCCCCCGGGTTCATCCATGTTATCACATATGGCAAGATCTCCTTCCTTAAAAAAGACTTACTTTCTTAAAAAAAAGTCCGGATAATATTTCGTTGCATGTATATACATTTTCTTTATCCGTTCATCCATCAGTGGACATTTAGGTTGTTTCCCTATCTTGGTATCGTAAATTGTACTGCAGTGAACATGGGCGTGTAGTATCTCTTTGTGATGATGCCATTTCCTTTGGATATATACCCAGAAGTGAGATTTCTGGATTGTATGGTACTTCTGTTTTTAATTTTTTGAGGAACCTTCATACTGTTTTCCATAGAAGCCACATCATTATACATTTCTACCAACAGTGTACAAGTAAGTGTTCCAGTTTCTGCACATCCTTGAGAGCACTTGTTATCTTTTGTTCTTTTGATAATAGCCAGCCTAACAGGTATGAGGTGACATCTCATTGTGGATTGATTTGCATTTCCCCAGTAATTACTGATGTTGAGCATCTGTACCTGTGGACCATTTGTATGCCACTTTTTAATCTGGTTATTTGAGTTTTTTGCCATTGAATTGTAGGAATTTCTTATATATTTTGGATATTAAACCTTTATCAAATACATAGCTTAAAGATTTAAAAATAAGACCTGAAACTATAAAACTCCTAGAAGACATCTTAGTGAAAAAGCATCATCATGTTTATCCAGGCAATGATTTCTTGAATATTGACACCAAAACCCAAGCAACGAAAGCAGTAATAATAGACAAATGGGACTACATCAAACTAAAAAGTTTATGCACAGTAAGAGAAACAATAAACAGAGTGAAAACACAACATACAGAATGGGAGAAAACCATTTTAATGGTTTTAGAATGATCAGATCTACACTCCATTATCAAAAATACTTAGTGCTAGTTGTATTTCAATTTCAAACTTCTCAAACCTTTGAAAAGTAATATGGTGCATATGCCATCTATTATTTTAATATATCTATGGGGTTCAGGGGGACTCTCTTAATCAAACACATTAATATTTAGCAAATACACTTAAGTAGTTTAAAGGACTATAAATAGTTTCATATCAGTTTAGGCTAGATTGCCCTCAAGTGAATTATAAAATAATTTTTAAATTTTCAGAGCTTTTGGAATTTCAGATTTTCTGATAAGGGATTGTAAACCTATATTTTGAAATCCTTAAAATAATGATTCTTGAATAAATTAAAAATAATTTTTTATTAATTGCCAACCTAGCAAATAAAAGAAAACTTGATCTTTAAAACTGAAATGCATGGCCACGCTGAGCCAGCTTTGGGCACTCTGCACACCAGGTGTCCTCTTCTTCCTGTTCTGGTTAGCTATGGTGGCCATGAAGACCCTGAACCTCAAGGCCAAGGTGGCCCAAGCCTAGGCGGCACTGGAGGTTAACATCAGTGCGGCCCAGGGGCTGCAGGACATGCTGAGGACCAACTTGGGGCCTAAGGGCACCATGAAGATGCTTGTTTCTGGTGCTGGAGACATCAGGCTTACTGAAGATGGCAATATGCTCCTTCATGAAATGCAAATTCAATACCCAGCAGCCTCCTTAATAGCCAAAGTGGTGACAACCTAGGATGACATAACTGGTGATGGTACCACTTCTAATGTCTTAATCATTGGAGAGCTACTGAAAGTAGCTACTGTAGGTGGATCTCTACATTTCTGAAAGTCTTCATCCCAGAATAATAACAGAAGGACTTGAAACTGCAAAGGAAAAGGCACTTCAGTTTTTGGAACAAGTGAAAGTAAGCAAAGAAATGGACTGGGAGACACTTACAAATGTGGCCAGAATATCTCTGCCTCCTAAAGTACATGCTGAACTTCCTGATACTTTAATAGACTTCATTTTGGTCATTAAACACAAGGTGAACCTATTGACCTTTTAATGTTTGAGATCATGGAAATGAAACAAATCTGAAACTGATACAAGCTTAATCAGAGGTCTTGTTTAGACATGGGGCACACATCCTGATATGAAAAAAAAAAAAAGAAGATGCATACAACCTCACGTGCACTGTGTCATTAGAATATGAAAAAACAGAAGTGAATTCTTTTTTTATAAGAGTTCAGAAGAAGAGGAACTTGCAAAAGCTGAAAAAAAACTTGAAGATAAGAGTTAAAAAATAATAGAACTGAAAAAGAAAGTCTGTGTGATTCAGATAAAGGATTCATTCAAAAGGGAATTGACCCCTTTTCCTTAGATGCTCTTGCATAGAGTTAAAAGGAGAAATATGGAAAGGCTGACTCTTGCTTGTGGCAGAGTAGCTCTAAATTCTTTTGATGACCTAAATCCTGATTGTTTTGGACATGCAGGACTTGTCTGTGAGTATACATTGCGAGAAGAGAAATTCACCTTTATTGAAAAATATAACAATCCTCACTCCATCATATTACTGGTCAAAGGGCCAAATAAGCACACACTCACTCAAATCAAAGATGCAGTAAGGGATGGTTTGAGGGCTGTTAAAAATGCTATTGATGATGGCTTTGTAGTTCTAGGTGCTGAGGCAGTGGAGGTGGCAATAACAAAAGCCATGATTAAATACAAGCCCAGTGTAAAGGGCAGGGCTCAACTTGGAGTCCAAGCATTTGCTGATGCATTGCTCATTATTCCCAAGGTTCTTGCTCAGAACTCTGGTTTTGACCTTCAGGAAACACAAGTTCAAGCAGAACATTCAGAATCAGGTCAGTTTGTGGGTGTGGACTTGAACACAGGTGAGCCAGTGGTAGCAGCCGATGTAGACATATGGGATAACTATCTTGTAAAGAATAGCCTTACACAGTCCTGCATTGTGTTTGCCACCAACATTCTCCTGGTTGATGAGATCATGAAAGCTGGAATGTCTTCTTGAAAAGGCTGAATTGAAGCTTCCCTTGTGTCATCTGAATCATGAAGACTCTACAGAGTGGTCCTAAGAAGAGCTCTGAAATTTTTGTCCAAGCTTCAAGTGATTTTCAAAAGCATCTTCTTTTCCCGTATGAAAAAAAGAGAACACTGACACTAAAATTCTGAAGTTCTGAAATTATAATTATAGTATTTGTTTAAATTGCACTCCAGTGTACACACATTAAGTAGGCCGTTTTTACCCAATGAACAGGATGTTTTGCTTTAGCTTCAGTGTTATAAAAGTACCAAGTTAGATAAGTGTATGTTATCTACCTTGTTATTAAATGTTCCTTGAAAAAAACAGCCAAAAACTGAAATTCACCTTTAATGAGTGGTTCTCTATCCTTTTTATCTTAGGTGAAGTTTCTTCATTTAAATTTTTTATGAGTCTTTACTAAGTATATTAATTACATTTTATTATTACTCCACTTAGGATTTAAGGGTAGAACTTAGTTTAAGAAGATATTGAAAGCACATGGTAGAATCATGTAAATTTCTTGATTGATGAAGTTTTAGAAGTTAGAAATGTTTTGTGAATATTTACTTTTAGTCTTTAGATCAGAACGACTGTTGTTTTTTTTTTAGCTTATCTTTAGATTGTTAAGTACTTGTTATAGTTATATAGCACTTTGAAATTTCAAAGTTGCTTGTGCCTTGATAAGTACCTTGAGTTCTAAGGATTTAGAGATCTTTCTACCTAAGATTATTGATTTTTCACTTGAAAAATAAAACATTATTTTCTTCTGTCACCATATCACAATAAATGTTGGTGAATGAAAGCACTGCTAGAAATGTGCTGAAGTAGTTAAGAGTTCCATTCTTCACTGAATCACCCAGAGTAATAGGAAACCCATATTTCAAAGCATGAAAAGTTAAGTATCTACTTACTATAAAATGTGCCTAATACCATGATATAAAATGTCATAAATTGCCCAGTGATAGTTTATTAGAATACAAAAAAAAATTTTTTTTTCTTTTGAAATTAGTGCCAGTGTATGAAAAGACTCTCTGGAAACTAAGAATAAAAGGAAATTCTCCTAACTCAATAAAGTCCATATACCCAAAGTCTGTAGCAAACATTATATTGAGAAATTTTGAACACAAACCAAATAGAATTGGAAGTTAAAAAAAAGAAAAAAATTCACTACTTGCATATGATATAGTCATCTACGTAAAACCCAAAACCCACCAGCAGACTACTAAATCTGAGAAAATTCAGCAAGATTCTCTAAGCCTAAATTTGTTAAATTAGGGGCGCCTGGATGGCTCAGTCGGTTAAGCATCTGCCTTTGGCTCAGGTCATGATCC